CCAGTGTCCCTTGGACTGAATTCAACACCTCTTTGAAGGGTGGCATTGATACAGAGCTGCTGGAACTTCTCAGAGCCCAGTGAGACTCTGATCAGGAGAGTAGCTGCTTGGGGCCTCAGCTGGGGCCAAAGCTATCCCTCTTTCCTATACTTGTACCTCTTTTGTAAGAATCCATGTAATCCCACAGTCTCCAGGATTAGAAGCTTTAGAGTAGTGGTTCTCAAAGTCTAGTCCCCAGACCAGCACAGTGGCACCTGGAGCACCCTGAAATTTGGTATAAATACACATTTTCTTGGCCTTCACAGTAATATCAGAAACTCTTGGGGTGGTACCCAGCAACAGGGATTTTAACAAGTCCTACTGGCAATTCTGATGCAGACATGCTAGAATTGACCTGAAAAATTTAAGGAGGCATTCACTCTCTGGTTCATATAAATTCAGAGTCTGCAAATACATGAATCTGGAAATAAGGACTTCCTTAAATTATGTGCCCTAAGCACATCACATGCTTTCTTCACCCTATCCAGGCACTGAGACCAAAGCTTTAGGAGAATCTAATGACCATAGCCTTGGTGCAAAATTGATATGCATTTTCCTAATGAATGGTAATTAGTCTTCCAGATGGGCAGCTCCTATGAAGAAGTAGGAGTCAAAGCCCAAGGGAGTCACAGAGCAGACTGATTAAAGAGCACATGTGAGGTGTATCTATGGGGATCCACCCCAGAGACTGCTAGGGATCCTTTGGCCATTGTGGGGGTTGGAGGAGCTTCAGAAGGGGTTGGCTTCCCTTCTCCCCATGGAAAGCAGAGAGTTAGCAAACTTTTGGCTCTGGGAATTAACATGGCAATGTTTACTGTGGATCTGTTTATTAGATATGCAACTGAGGCCCCAAATCTCATATGTCCATGATCAGTGCAAATGCAGGTTTTATGATCTTGGTTTTGCAAAAGAGAAAACACATATTAAATGGTTAAATAATATGTGTCATATCTCAAGCTGATGAGTAATGGACTGGATATTAAACAGGCTTTGTTCCACCCACACTGCAATTAATGAATTTCCTCAGGTGTGACTTTCACTTTCCCTCATCTCAGACAGCTGGCTCAACAGCATCCCTTTGGTTATCCACACCTTGGATCCTGTCTCTTATTGAAATCTTAGACAGCATTTGGTGATTTGTTTCTTTTGCCATGAACCATGCAAGACTGGACACGCTCCTGGAATTGACTTGTCAGATCCTTCAAGAAAAGTCCTAACAAAACATATCCTTGACCTGGACCACTGGGACTGTGCCACACTTACTTCTTTTAGTCCCTGCCTGACATCACAAATCACTTTGAATATCCTTTTTAAGAAATGGAGTCTCACTAGAAGCACCTAAAGTTTACAATGAATTTAATATATTGCATATTCCTAAAAACTTTTTTATGGTTGGGCAGAAGATGGGCTTACACATTTAGAGCCACAGGCACACAATGACTAAAATTGCCAGATTAGTGTCTTTTGGATAGATGGTACAAGAGAGAGGACACTGGCATTGTTGATCTCCAAACTGCAACTGTAGTCCTGTGACCATATGTTGGCATGCAACTCTGGATCTTAGTTAACTTTTAAAACCTGGGGTATTTATGCCTTGCACCCTCATGGCTTGTAAACTCTCACCACAGCTTATCACACTCTGGTGTGTATACAAGACTGCTTCAGTCATTCACTCACTGCCCATCTGTGAAGCTCAGTAATTGAGGCTGGGATAAACAGTTGTTGAAGGAATAAAACATTTATGGAGGTTACTTAGCTCTATAATAGTTTAGATTACCATATCTTGCCTATCTCAAGTTCAAGGGATGCAAGATAATATAGCTCCTGGAGAACAGGGACTTGGAGTATAAACAACATGACATTGGAGATTCTGCCTGCAGAGGAGAGAGAGTGGATTCATATTGTGTTATAGAGGTTTAGAAAAATGAGTGAAAAGTACATATTGGGGATGTTCCACTCTGGCTCCAACTGTGATTCCTATCAGAGGGCTCTGCCTCTTAGGTACTGGGTGGTTCTGCAGAGAGAGCTTCCTAAATCCAGCACTTGTCCTGCTATCAGAGCTGTGGTCAGGGCAGTCACTCTAAGTCCCTTCTTCCCTGAGACCAGAAGATTTGCATTTGCCAAGCATTCAGATGCAAATTGTTAGTTTGGGTCCTTTGTTGCTGGGAAGGGACCCACCCAGCTTTTATTCAAAGAATTGCCCCAAGGATGGTTTGTGAACATGCACAAGCTGGGCAGTGGACTTAAGCACCATCTAAAGAGAATATGTTTAAAGGACTCCCACTGGGGCAAGCTCTTAAGATTTCAAATCACACAAGCATCTTCTGTGAATGCTATCTTGGTTTTTTCCTATTTGGTTTTCTTACAGTGACCAGCACTAGGTGCCCTTGTGTATGTGTAAGATGACCAGTAGAAAGGGGAGCTGTGAGGCCTGGTTCTCCTTACATAGCCAAGTCAGATGACTCTTAAGGAGAAGAGGGAGGGGTGAGCAGGGCAAGGCCCTGTGAGGCCAGGCAAGAGGCCTGGGTCTCCATACATAGCCTAGGAAGAAGGGACATAGATGAGACTGGTCTGGGAAACAAGAGACTCAAAGGCCACACCAAAGGTTGTCCTTGATGAACTTTTCTGACAGGAACACAGGTAAGAAAAACAACAGTCAGACTCTTTTCCACTTTCATATTCCCCCACCACACCCAACCCACCTTCAGGTAGCAAAGTCCTTGAAGGCAAAGACTCTGCACTTGCCCTTAAGTTGGGTTTACAGTAATTAAAACCTTAAAAATGAAACACAAAACTCAGAAACCACCTGCTTTTTTAACACCTGCACTCTTTCAACAAATGTTAAATATAAGTTCAATAAATAATTAAGCAAAACCTTTTTCCATGGTTTTCCTTCTGTTAGAAGAGCTGTCTGGTAAATGAAGAAAAACATACCATTTACCCACAAAACTAAGCACAATCCCTTATTGTTATACAATTAAGCAAAATACAATTGTATGTAATATGATTACACAGACTACAATTATACAAAAGTAATGATGCAGTATAGATGGTAACAATTTTCATGTCACTGTAATGAAAGCTCCCTTGATTAGAAATTAAGGTATGGTAGGATAACCCTACTGATAAATGTTTCCACTGTTGATCTCCAATTTACAAAGGCTATGCTGGCTGTTGAAGTTGGATGCTTCACCCTCATCATCAACGGACTAAAGAGGCCACAATCGCTTTGTGTAGTATCTTTTATTCTCAGGTCTCTAAACTAGCAAATTCTAATGAAGGACACATTTTATTACCCAGCTGGTCACTTAGGAAAAAGAGAAAGTAAAAGAGCCAAGAGGTCTTTGTGATTTGACGCTGATCTCTTATGTTGGGATATTGACAGAGAAACATTCTCATAAAGTCCTGCCAAATTACATTGGTCAATCTGAACATCGGAGACTGGGATATGCACATCTGATTTTGTGCTGCTCACTATAGTGCCCTACTACTTCTCACTGCTCTGCTGGCCTGTGCAGTTACCTTCATCTCTGGGATGGTTCTCCTTCAATCCATCTTTCTTCCTATTTCCTGAGTCCTCTTTCAATAAACAGATCTGGCTGCCTTCCTTTCTGATTCTTGCCTAGAGCATGAAGACAAATTTCATGGGCCCTCAAACTTCTCATGTTAATACTAATCCACATATCTAACCATATTCTTTCCATGTGCTCCACCACAATGACATAAAATCTTCCTTATCAATATTTTGTTACATCTAAGACACTATTTATTGTAAGACATACTGCTATTTTATATGTCAATAAAATAAGTGAATGTTGCCTATTAAACTATTACCATCAATTGCAAAATATATCTAAATATTACAGATTTTAAAATGAAAAATAAGTGTCTTGAATTGATATACTGCTTACAAGTATGGCCTGTCCTATTCTTATGCCATTTCACATGCTGCATCCTGCCAAATCATCTGACACCCTCACCCTGCACCCCTCATCCAGGTCTCTCTGTTCTGTCAAATTCAGCTCAGCACCACTTACTGGAAACCTTATTGACCTCATTCTCAAAAGGCCAGACTAAGTTGCAGCTGCCATATCTAATACAACTAAGGGTACATTTCCTGATCATTTATTGTACTTTATTGTAATGACTAATTTATTCCCTGATGAAAATTAACATTCTATTCCACCAACACAGAGGCTTGTACCTAACACATGTTATTCTCCCTTTTAATAAATGGTATTTTAAGCAGGGAGGGTAGAATCAAAGATATGTAGGAGGCAATGGATAGAGAAGAAATATGGGGACCAAGATAAACTTTGCTGAAAATTCAGAATTGATACTTTTACATTTTTTTTCTACAGCATGTCTTTGAATCTAGAAACTTCTAACACAAAAGGAGCCAGATCCCAGGAAAGACAAAAAAAAAGAAACTGAGCTTTTGTTAGATTTGCAGGTTGGAGAGTAAACATGTTGATTCTCTCTGTCCAGGGTTTGATCTCTTCTGGACCAAAGAAGAAATGGTTCAAGGGTATTAGCAGCAAACTTCTATTATAGTATCCCAGATAGCCTGACACTCATTCCAAGAGAGGACACCCATTGCAGCAAAGAATGAAATGGTTTAGGAGAAAAGTGATGCCTCCCCCCTTTTTGTTTTACTCTTATCTTCAAAGTAATCAAATGGTGTTTATGCATAAAAGTTTAATTCTTTCACAAATCTGTAGTTTGATTTAATTTGCATATCCCATTTACTGCAAGTCAACATAAAGAGAGACTGAACTAATTTAAACCATTTTTCTCTGGGTCTGAAATCCTTTCAGAAATATTTTCCATTAGACAACTCAATTATGTCTAATGTGGCTAATGTCAGTGGATTAGAATTTTGCTGAAAGAAACACATATTTAGAGCAGTTAGAATGGGGAGGTGGGGGTTGGGAAAACAGAGGATAAGAGACAATAATTACCTGTCTTTGATGCTACACAGATCAATGTGTAAATTGCTAAAATTCCCCAGGGAACCTTGCTGAACTGAAATGAGGTCCTTGGGCTGGTTATCAATAAAGATGAGTCTCATGCAGCCTTGGAAAGCCTTAATAGGATTTAAGCATTGGGAAACGGTGAGATTGTCAGGGCATCCTGTGGGACAGAGAAAAAAATGAAGAAGAATGATGAAATGATTAGTCATTGCTTTGGTGACCTATCCACAGAAGATATTGAGGTGTAATTATTGTGGTGCTTTTTCATTCACAGAAGTGCACAGAGTTTACTTGTGAATCCTAGCATCCTCAGAAAGAGGACAGAATTAATTCAAAGGGAAGCATACTCAATTACTGTACAGAACAAAAGAAACAATATGTTGAAGGGAATATGAGCACTCTACCATGTATCTTGTCATTCATTTTTTCTCTAGGTAAACTGTGTGCCATTCTTCTTCCTGGGACACTTCACTTCTTCTAAGAACACAGCCTACTGTAACTATGTGGGTATGTTGGTTCTGTCTTGAAACACACTTCTAAGTGCATTATTCAATCCTGAATCATACTTTCTAAGGAAATTATGCTTTGAATGAGGATGGCAGCAGAGTAACTATTTGGTTAGTTAGCTTTAATAGGTTTAGTTCCTGACAAAGGTACACGTAGAACTGTAACTGGAATTTTGAAGTGATTTGCAAAACAAATTCAGACACTAAAGACACTAATGGTTTAAGTGCACACCATTATAGGGCTGTAATTGCACACTTGAAAGGTTAACACCATACTTTCTCAAGGGGTATTCTTTTAAAAAATGCATCATGAAAATTTAGCATAGTCTGTAACTTAGGCATATCTTCTCATTAAGATAGGTAGAAAGCAAATAGGTATATCAATGCTGGAGCTCTTTGTAAACTCCAATCTGAATGTTTTGATGGGTTTAGACAATATGCAAACACAAGCTTGAGAACATGGAAATAACCCATAAATAATTGGGAATTATTTCAGCCATTTCTAATAGACAGTCACTGCTGGGCTGAAGCCTGACAGCTGGTTAACAGCTCACAAGCTGTTAACACACTATAAAATGAAGAAAAATGTTAGGACTTCTATTGAAGCTATAGAGAGAATTTATGTTAAGTTGACTGTTATTACTCAAACTCATTTTTACCTCCCTTAAGTTTACAATCTATGTGTGGGAGTTTTTAATACACTGTTCAAATCACAGATAAATCCTCACCTTCTGAGCCTAGTGCCCCAAGAACCACATCTAAGGATCCTTCTTCATTTGGGGGAGGGGTCATTTTTCCTTGGAGGCATTCAGGTGCTTACATATTATAATTATGCTCCTTGTTTTTTAAATAGAAATAAGAATATGATTGCCTTTCTTTCCCTGTTGGAAGCATTTCATGTGATGCAAAATTATTAGTTTTGGGGATATATCACTGGGGCCCCAAGACACTCCTTCCACAGCTTTTGTTCTACAGTAGTTGGCATTCTTTGTTATCACCAGTGGGTTGTGGAGAACATATTTGGAGGTGAATCCTGGTTCTACTATTCACACAAATTATTTCATCTAAGTAAACACCAGTCTTACTTTCTGTGAAATGGGGCTACAATTACCTACCTCACAAAGTCACTTCATGAATTAAATGAGCTAAGACACAAAAATCATCTACAGAGAATGAAAATGTTCTCTTTTCAAAGAAATGTGTTATCATGCACTCATGGAGAAGACAAAGAATGAAGGACAGAGTGTATCCCTGAAGCCCTAAAATCAAACCACAAATAGATCACTTCCTAGTGCTTCCCTCTTGGGATACCCCGATGTATACACTGCATCTGTGAAGAGCTCCTCTTGTATTTTAAATCTTAACCATATGTCACTTGTCTGAGAGATATGGTCTGTAAACCCTATTAAAGGATGCACTTTGTAATTTTACACACAATATGTATTCAATTTCCTAGTGGGAAACAGATTGGCAACTGTAGACCAACCCTAGTCCATGCCTATATTTACAAAGTTTGAAACCAGCTTGTCCATTCCTTGCTAAGTAGGAAATTTTGTGCTATACCTTGATGTCACAGAACTCTCCCAACAATTCCATGGCCTCAATATGGGAAGTTCAGGAACCCTAAATGTCTTGCTCATTGTCAGACAGCTGTTGAAATTATTTACTCTTTAGATACTTTTTTCTAACATAAAAACAAATGATCAAGAAATTAGATACTAATATTTTAATGAAAGGGGGCACCTTGAAAAAGATTAAATAAAAATATATATGCAACTATAAAAATCTATTTGGTGCTAATCACATGTTTTTCCCCTTTATCAGTTTACCCTGTGTTTTGTAGTAGAAAAGACTTCCAGGATTCACCCAACATTGGAGAGGGCTGGATCTGTACTGGCTGCTCCATATGGACCTAAGCATTCATGGACCTTCTATGACTTTCCCATATTTAGTTACCCCACTCATGGGAATGGCCCCCAGGGATGTGGAATGTGGGATGAAGACAACAAAATACCAGAAGAGTGGCCTAGATGAGTGAGAGTGCTGGTTTCTCCCTCTCACCTAGATATCTCTTCTTTCAGTTACTGCTGACTATTGGTATTTTCTCCAAGCTTTCAGCTGAGTTTTCCCTTTCAAATGTGATCATAGAGCTTGGCATGGCTATAAAAATCTCTTTGGGACATGTTATGTAACACCAGTTCTTATAGCTGAAGTTCTTTTTTTCCTCAGCACTGACCTAGATAATTTATATCTGCACAGCTGTGAGAGAGTTTGCTTCCCATTATTTTGAGAACGGGGGTGGCTGCCTGTGTCTGTGTGTGTTTGGTAGGGGATGTGCCTGTGTTAGAAGAATGGTCTAATTGACAAAGAAAGAATCACAATAGAAAAATTAATGTCCACTCCACTCTCCCTCCCTCCTTTATTTCCAACCACAAAAGCTAAGTGATTTACCTCCAAAGTAGTAGCTATTTCCAGAATAAATCTGTACCCGGGTAGTGTCCTGAGCTGGGGATGCTGCATCATTATCCAGGGTGAGAGTGATGCGGTTCCTTCTGGCGTTGATGCTGACTGAATGCCACAAACCATCATTTAAGTTGGTGCCTGCAAAAGAACCAGGAAGGCAGGCATAGGGATGATTGATCTAGGAAAGCTGGGGTGGGGGGGCTGGTTTTCTTTCCCTGCTGTGGTCCCTGTGCATTCTCAGAGTGGTTCCCACTTAACATTTTACTTAAACCAAACCCTTGGCTGCTTCACAAGAGTCACTTTTCTTTCTATTTTTAACCACTTAATTCTAGTCTTTTTTCCTTTATTTTTATTGTTTACATTATTACAGATGTCCCAATTTCCCCTTTTGATACTTCCCTTCCACCTTTGCCTCCCTTCCCTCTGGCCATCACCACACTGTGGTCTAGGTGGCTAGACAACTTTGGGTGTTTGCTTAACAACAAAAGTGAAAAACATAGATTTGTAAACTACAACCAGAGGCACAGAGTCGATTAAATGACATCTAGCAATATAAATAAGAGAGCAAAGTGCTGAAAAGGAAAAACTCTCAAAACATTTCCAGTGGTTTTATTTCTGGTTGGTCAGATTACAGACAATTTTTGTTTTCCTACATTTTCCTCCTAGTAGCTTATATTTCCTTTTTAGTAAAAATAAGCTATCATTAAAGGCAAAAGTAAAACAGGAAAACTAGAGTCCAATGGTGTACCAGGAGGAGGCAGTTTTCTGTTGGAGAGAGGTAACAGACTAGTTAATTCCAACCTTCCCTTAATTCTTTATGTGACACTGGCTAAGTGACCTCCCTTCACTGAGCTTCAGTTTTATCATCTGTAAAATTATTTCTACTCTGTATTATTGTTAAAGGGATAAGTTGTGATTAGGCAGGGAAGTCCCTAGAGAAGTTGAGTATATAGTGAGTATTTATTAAAAGTTTTTTTCCATTGTTCTTTTGGCCCAGATATCTTTGATGAACACTACATTGCTGGCCTACCTTACCAAGAAAACTGTATAGGAAATTAGTCATGATGTTGTCAACTATTTCCTCCAAAAGCTTATCATCTGTGAAGACTCTGTTTCTGCAAAGGGCTAGCTGAAATAAACAGTCATATAGATTTGTGTATAACAGGGACAGAAAGCCACACATTTCTACACACACTAGCATAGCTGGTATTCTACCCAACTATGTATTGATTCTCTTCCTTCCCTTTGCCTCAATTTCCTCTCTTGCAAAATGGGGACAATAGTTATACTTACAGGCTATTGTGAGAATTATACAAGGTAACACAGAAGCATATAGTTCAGTTTATATAATATCAAAAGAAGACACTGTTTGCTAAAGCATATGGACAGAACAGCAACTACATTATTGCTCTTGCACTGGTGAATATAGACATTAACATCACATGGTCTCTATCCTAGGGTAGCCATAGTTAAGTGAAGAGACATAGGTAAAGTGGATGAACATTCTGTCCTTGGAACATGTCAGGCTGCTGGGATAAACAGTGAAACAGACAAACAACAATTCTAGAAGGAACGGTAAGTTGGGGGGCAGAGAAGAAAGAAGATTTAACCAACTCCATGTGAGGATCCTGAAAAGTCTTCACAAGAGAGGTGATGACAGTACAGAAATGTTTTGGAAAATGAGCAATAGTTTGTACCCCTAGAGCAAGAATTCTAAGAGATAGAGAGCTTGTACAAAGAAGCAAAGGCCTGGAGTGAGAAGCAGGACAGAACAACAACAAGGCAGGTGGAAAGATGATCCACTCTCTCAGGGGTCGCAAATGCCTGGCTAAGTAAGGGGTTTCAATAAAGTCCTTTGATATATGGTTCTGCAGGGTATTTTACCCAAGTCAATTCTATTATAATCTTTGAGGATGGGACCCTATACATTTGCATTTTCAAAAAGTCTCCTGAATGAATCTAATGTGCAGCCAGGAGTGAAAATCACTGTGTTAGAACATGGGAGTCTATGAGGGGTCTTCAGAATTAGGATGACATGGCTAGAGGTGAGCATTCAAAGACTCTGGTGGCAGGTGATAGGAATTTGGAGAAAACAAGGCCGGAAGCGGGACTAGTGGGGCCTGTTGCTTGCACATCACCAGGAGACAGAAGATGAAGGTCTCAGCCAAAGTAACAACAGTGAAAATGGACAGTAAGGGGTTTGTTAAGAGCTATTACTGGAGGTAGAAGAGATCAGGCCTAGTCATGCCTCCTGGAGCATTCCTGAGGTACTGATATAAAGAATGTATTCAAAATCACAGCAAAGGTCTGCAGGCCTCCACAGAACAGTTATGATATGCTGTGCCCCTGGGCCCTCAGAGTTCTGGAGAAGCTACCCATGGAGAGCACAACACAAGGCTATTGGCACAATCGCATGGCTTTGGGCAGCTGTGCTCCACCTGCTCAGAAGAGCAGACAGAAGGGGCCCTCCTGCATTTGCAGCCAGATCCCTAACAGTCAGTCTTTCCTGCAGCTGCAAATGTCTGGCCTGATGGGATAAAGTGGAGAACCCAGAGGCTGCACATCCTGACTGCTCTACCTTCTCCCAAAGACCAGAGTTTGTGTCCTAACTACAGAGATTTTGTTAATCAGGCAGAAATTCTGTCAGGTATTTCTTGGGGATAAACAATTAACTTCTGTCAGTGGCATCAGAGGACATAGCCAGCTGCAGGTCTTCACTTCTTTAACTTCATTTGCATAGTACTTTAGTACTACATAGTACTAAATAGTACTTTAGTACTACATAGTACTTTAGTACTTTAAATATATCTGCATAACATATGAGTTTGACTTTGAAAACAAACTATAGATTGTTTGAGTTGGGCATCAGGAAGGAGTTCAACAAACAAGGTGTAAATAGCTCCTAAAGGCCTAGCATAGTTCTGGCATCAGGTACAGCAGGAAAGAAAGTAAACATAGGGGCCACAGGGAGTGTCAATGTAATTAAAGATACATTCTCTAGTTTCCTTACAGGTGAAACAGGCTGAAGACCAGAGTTCTGCTCCATTTGTTGTCAGGACCATTCATCATCAGCTTGTCTTCAGATTCTGAGTCTCTTCCTTTTCCCACATGACTATTCAGTTTTGTCTTTTTTCCCCTAACATTAATTTTTTTTAATTTTTCAATTACAATTGGTATACACTATTATATTAGTTTCAGGTGTATAACCCAGTGACTAGACATTTTATAACTTACTAAGAGCCACACAGTATGAGCTATAAATTGATCTGCTGCTGAATGCTACCTGTGCTGGGCTTGGAAGTACCCAAGAGGAGCCAAGCTGCTAAAGCAAGGCCAGTTGCCACTAGTATTGGCCATGGGGCCAGTTAGGGAGAGATGTAAAGGGCATGTAGAGGATAAATGCTGCTTGCTTGAAGGATTTTAGGAAAGTCTAAAACATTAGTCAAGACAGGCCATTCATAAGGAAAAACCAATGAAAGCAGCTTAGGTGAGTCCTCAAGCTGTATGGGAAGAAGTATCAGGGAGTAATCAGTGTAGAACAAACAGTGTGATACAGGTTGATGAAGACTCAGATATGGTGCCCGCTTGCCAACTCTGTTGGGGAAGTCTCAGAAAAAGAACAATATCCTCTGCCAGCAGTTCTGTCTGTGAGAAAGCTTACCCTCCAGCTCTGGCCCTGATGTCAGACAATTCAGTTTCCTCTCATATATCCCTGGTGCCTTTCAAGCTGCCATCCTAGTGCTGGAGGTCAGAGAAAATGAGTGTAAGTTCAGGCAGGGCCCTTCAAGAGGAACACCTGGGACTCAAGAAGCCCTTCATCTCACCCCTCTGTGATCCTTGCTGGTTTTTATAAAAGTTATGGAGACTTCTTTTTCTGGCACTGGAACCCTTGGATGGGGGACCTGGTGCAGGGTTGGGACCTCTCACTCCTCAGGGGGGACTCTGTAGCTGAGTTGTCCCTTTCAACTTTTAATCACCACACATGAGTGTGGGAATAGCCCATTTCTCATCTTTGCCCCTCCTACTAGCCTTGATGTAGCTTCTTTTTCAAATCCTTAGTAGACAATTTTTATTCAGCTAGATTTCAGGCAGTTCTGAATGATTGCTCTTCTGCAGTTTAGTTATAATTTTGATATGGTTGAGAAAGGTTTTGGGTACCCCATTTGCTTACCCAGCCATTTTGATTAGAACTCTTTTCCCCTCCAGGTTTGTCTTTAAAATCAACACTTAATGAGGGTTTGCTTAGTTGCTTGTTTTCTTTCTTTCTCTTTCTTTCCTTCTTTCTTTCTTTTTTCCTTCCTTCCTTCCTTCCTTCTTTCCTTCCTTCCTCTCTCCCTCCCTCCCTCTCTCCCTTCCTTCCTTCTTTCTTTCCTTCCTCCCTCCCCCTCCCTTCCCCTCCCTCCCCCCTCCCTCCCCCTCCCTCCCCCTCCCTCCCCCTTCCCTCCCCCCTCCCTCCCTCCTCCCCCCTCCCCTTCCCTTCCCTTCTTTCTTTCCCTCTTTTCCTCTCTTTTTCCTTTCTTTCTTCTTGGTCTCCTTTTTTTATCTGATTTGATCTCTTATACTCTTTACCTATGTGGTCTGTAGTCCCTGCAGGGGGAGGCTGTGTGAAATTTTAGTTCTTTAGATAATTATGGTAACAGTAGTTCTTGATGCTGACCACACAAAAAGATCACCTGGAGAACTTCTGAAAAGAAAGCTAATAAATGCAAATTGCTGGGGTGGCCCCAGGCCTTGGAAGTTTCAAAGATCCCCAGAGATTCAATTGTGTGGCTGAGGGTTGAGAACTACTCTAATAGAGGTTTTAGACGAGAAAGGAAAGAGCTAGGGAACAAACAAGACTAAGAGGAACTGACCAGAGAATAGATTCCAAGGCAAGTGAAGTAACATATTTCCTGATTTTTTTATCTTATACTCCTTTCCATTTCATTCTGTTAATCCCCTAAATAACACCCCTAGAGGTTCTCAAGGTTTAGTTTTTAAGAACACTCTTTTGAAGGTACAGGTTTAAGTGATATTAATTATTCACAAATTAAGGCAAATCAATGCTATCAAGTAGTTTTTCTCCCAAAACCTCCCTGAAATAAATAGTTCTGAAAAAAAAAATAAAAGTTTTCATTGGGAAGAACAGGAAAGTAATA